ACGCCAGCTGTTCCTGGCATGGTTCAATGTCACCTCCACGGACACGGTGACTTACCAGACCCCCATGGACCCGGCCGTGCCACCTCCACCTCCGTGAACATCTTGGCTTGACCCTGAAGGCTGCATTGACCCGGACTCCAGGGCTTTGACACCAACAATGCGACCCCCAACCCTCCATTGGCACGGCGGGTGGACCTCATTAGACCTCCGTAGACACATTGGGTAGACCCCGACGGACGCCTTGACCGTGCCTCCTTAAAGACGTTGCTAGATCCCAGCGGACGTGTTGACCAGACCTCCGTGGACACGTTGATGAGATCCCAGTAGGCACCTTGACCAGCCCTCCGTGGGTGATGGATGAGCTGGAGCTGCTTGTGCCGGCGCTGTGTGGCAGCCCACCGCAGCTGATGGCCACCAACGTGGCCCCCCTCCGAGTCAAAGCTCCCTTCATGGGATGCGGAAAGGTGGTTGAACCTTCCCGTGAAATGCTGAGCGAGAGCTGGAAGCCACCAGTGGCCACTGCTGGCCCCAGCAGTGACAGGCAACCACTTCTCCACTTCCCTGGGGATTTGGAACTGGACCAAAACCTCTTTCCCCACCGCGGCGGCCAGACGAGGCCCACACCCTCCAACGCGCCGGGCCTTGGCCACGTGGGGGAAGAGGGAGGGTGACACCTTGCGCAAGGCAACCGGCGTCGCTCCCTGCCCCGCTGAGCCACGGGGGACGCCACGTGATGGGCTGACCTTGCCCGATCTCCTCTTGCAGCGGAGAAGACACCGAGGTGCTTTTGGAGCCCACCAACCCCTCCGCCACGTCCTGTAGACACGCCATGATGAAGCCGGGCTGGCACTGCTCTCCGTCCCACCCCCACCACCAAGATGGGACCGTGATGACCCCATGGAGGGGAAAAAAAATCCCACCCCCTCCTGCAAAATAGAGGCCTCAGCTCCATGTGAACAGGTAAACTTGGCCTCCAGCGGGTGATTTCTTCCCGCTCGCGAGCCAGTGTGGCCTGGGTGGATGCTCCCCCTCGGGAGATCTGCTGCCAAGTTACCCCGGGTGGGGAAATTTGGCCCCTTCTGCTTCCACTGAGTCACGGGGAAATTTCTCCCCTCTGGGGATGGGAAGTCCTCCCCTGGTCACATGTTGGCCCACAGAGATGGGGCTGGGGAGGAGACACCAAGAAGGAGGGTCCGACTCCGGGGCATTGCAAGGGCTTCTTGCTCTTGGAGGGGGGACACCAAGCTGGATTTTGTCCCCCCATGGTGGTGCAAAGAGCCCTGGGTGACCCCGACACAGCCAACAGATCTGCCCAATGGTGGGGCCAAGAGGTCTGCCCCATGGTGGGGCCATCACATCTGCCCCACGGTGAGATCAACAGGTCTACTGCAGTGGGGTCAACGGGTCTAACTTATGGTGGTCTACCCCATGGTGGAGCCATCAGATCTGCCCCACGGTGAGGTCATCAGGTCTACTGCAGTGGGGTCAACGGGTCTAACTCATGGCGGTCTACCCCATGGTGGGGCCATCAGATCTGCCCCATGGTGAGGTCACCGGGTCTACCTGTAGTAGGGTCAACAGGTCTACCCCATGGCCGAGGCAAGGGGTCTACCCCATGGTGGAGTCAACAGGTCACCCCCATGAGAGGGCCAACAGGTCTACCCCAAAGATGGTGAGCTGGGTCTTCTGCCCCTATGAGATCTGGGGCAACTTGACCTGCCAGAGCTGTGCTCCACCCGTTAAAAACATGGTGAAAAGCCACGTCAAAAAAACTTTATTCATCGCCATCTCAACGGGGCCCTGTGGTCAACCCCTGCCTCCCGCCCCCAGGGCGTGTGCCCCAGCGCTCGGACCGGCCGGCTCTGGGGACTTTCATCAGGGAGGAGGAGGAGGAGCTGTGGGGTCCATCCCGTGTCTGTTGAGGCTGGGGATGGGTTGGGGATGGGGACTCAGTTCCTTCTCATGGTGTCCTGGAGCCATCGGGTGTATTTGCAGAGGTTGACGTAGACACCGGGTTTCTTGGGGTCCCCGCAGACACCCGGGCCCCAAGAGACGATACCCTGGAGCCGCCCATCACACATGAGAGGTCCTCCAGAGTCACCCTGACGAGGCAAGAGGCGGGGCATGTGGGGGCCTGGGAGTCATGGCCCACCCCAAAGAATCACCCCAAATCTGGGGCCGTTTCAGGGCTGGCCTGGCATCTCCATCCCACCAAGGAGATGCTGTCCTCTCCCCGCCGAGTGACACCGTCTCACCTCCCACCCTGCGTACCCAGATCCCCTTGAGGTGCTGCCAGCTGCACTGAATTGTGCCCGTTCTCAGCCCCAAAACTTCCCTCGTGGGACCTCACCCAGCGGTCCCCGAATGGCCGGACCTTGCACCCACCTGGCAGGAGTCAGCCCGACTGTGGGTCTCGCCCGCGCACACCATGTTGGTGGTGATGGAGCCGGGGTAGATGCGCCGGCACTGCTCTTCTGAGACGATGGTGACCTTGGCGCAGTGGAGGTCCTCAGGGAAGGTGACTGCGGGTGATGGAGGGCACAAGGTCACCCGGGGTGGGGGACAGACCAAGTGATCCAGCCCGGACCCAGCTTGGACCTCTTGTCCTCTTTGCCCCAGAGCTCATCTCCCCTCTTCCTCTTGTTGGAACTGAGCAGGAGCTCCAAGGCTTCCTGGTGTCCTGACCAGGTCACCCGGATGCCTGGGTTCCCTCAGGGGTCGAGGGTGCCTAAGGATTAGGGTGGGACCAATGGGACTGGGAGGGGCTTTGGGGGAGCCTGGACACCTGGGTCCCTGGGGAGGGGACACACATGTAGGGGTTATCAGTGCACCCCAGATGTCTGGGTCCCCAGGTGACTGGCTTCATACCTTCAGGGCTGGTGGTGGACCCCCAGCCTGAGATCTGGCAGGTCTTGCCGGGCACAGGGCAGTGGGTGGCCAATGGCAGCGGCTTCACCTGCTTGTTGATGTGGACTGGCAGGAGAAACTTGATGAGCATCAAGTCGCCGTCCTTGCTGGTCTCGTTGTAGCGTGGGTACTTGAAGACCTTAGCTGAGCGCCGCCGCTGCTCGATGCGACCTGAGTCCTTGTGGGTCCGGCCCCCCAGCCGCACGTTGATGAAGCTGATGGAGCCAAAGGCATCAGGGTTGGTGGGGTGGGGTGGGGGGATGTTGGACACAGGGGGCCATGGGGACCCACACAAAGCAGGGGCAGAGTCAGAGTCATGGTCCCAGAAGGTGGGGATAAGGGCAGAAGCAGCAAAAGCAGAAAAGGGCAGACTTAAGGTTATGGCTTCCCAAAAAAGGGCAGCATTTAGGTTATACGCAGGCAGAAAAGAGGCAGAGTGAAGCCCACTGAGATGCCATCAACCCTTCCCAACCTGCTTGGCTGGAAAGCAGAACCCCAGGTTGCCACCTGGACCTATTCCTGGTTGGCCTCAGCCCATCGGCACCGAACCCACCAGGCACCGCTGCCCCCGTGGCCTCCTACCCCGGGACGTGGCAGTGGGCGGCCGTCAGCACCCAGTTCTTGTCCACCAGCGTCCCCCCGCAGAGGAAATTCTCCCCTTTGAAGAGGGCAGCCTGCCAGGGCAGGTCGCAGGAGGTCCCCTCGATCACCCACAGGACGTTCCTTGAGGCTGTGGGGACAAAGGGACATGACACGGGGGACACGGGACCCCAGGGACATGGGACACGGGTAGGCTGGGACCCTATGGGTGCCCCATGTCCCCTGAGTCCTGGACAAGGAGGTGAATCAGTGGTGGAAGAGGCCAGTCCAGCTTGGGAGAGACCAGGAGGTCCATGGGGTGGGCAGGGGGCACCTGGGAGGGAGGGGGTCTTTTTGGGGTGAATGGGGAGAGGTCCCATGGGTGGATGTGGGGCCCCTGGGGCAGACAGTGAGGTCCCATAGGTGAACGTGGGGCCCATGGGGTGGGCGTGAGGGCCCCTGGGGCAGATGTGGGGCACCCATGCCAGACACAGAGGGTTGCATGGGTGGATGTGGGGTCTCAGGTTTGGTTAGGGAGCACCCAAGGTGGGTGTGGGGTGGTTGGGGTGGTTGGGGGACACCCACGCCAGACAAG